TACACAGATTGGGTTCTTTCTAAAATAATGCCCTGCATTTTCCATCTATGCTGCTACATCTCATTATTCAAAGAGTCCTGAGCACCATACCTCTGATCTCCTGTTATGGTCAGGATTATCCACCTTGTTAAATCGTACTCTCTTATCATATTCCTGGAGTCTTTTCCTTCCCTCCTCCCTGTTCCACTCTAATTTGATGACTGACCCTGGCCAAATAATATGAAACTTCTTAATACATTCTGCTTCAGAAGTTTCACACTGGAGTCTCCCTTCGAAGTTATTTTATTGAAGGATGGCAGCTTTCATAGTAGTAGTGCTTTGTCAAGGAAGAATAAAATGTTCCCCCACTGGTTTCTGAGTATCGTGATTTCTAATGTCAGATTTACATCTATTTATCTTTTCTGGAGGCAGGAACCTATTTGTCCAAGGTAGGTAGCAGAAAGGCATTGTGTTGATCCTTTATGGGATATTTTACTTTGGAAAATGAATGAATGAGTCGGAGCCAATAGTGCTGAAGTTATTAGATCCTGTGAGCATGTTGCCTGAGTGTATATGGGGAAATAGTTGGCATCTTGTTAGAGATGTAACAGTTTTGGAAATCTTGAAGCCATGGAAAAAATTATTTTTCCTAGATAGTATATTTTTTGTTGCTGTAACACCATAAAGTATCGTTTATCACATAGATAGCATATTAAATTGTACTCCTTTAGCATATTTCTTGAATACAAAAGCATCAGTGCCCTGTTTTCTACAAGCAAAAGGGAGCTGCTGACTACTGCACCCTGTGCTAACACATACAGCTGCCTTATACCGAATCAGTCCATTGAGGTCAGTATTGCCTACACAGACTGGCAGTGGCTCTCCAGGGTCTCAGACAGAGGTCTTTTCACATCACCTACTGAATGAGTTGTTCAACAGTGGAATCATTTGCCTAGGGAGGTAGTGAGCTCCCTCTCACTGACAGTCTTTAAACACAGGCTGAACAAACACTTGTCAGGGATGCTCTAGGCTGATCCTGCATTGAGCAAGGGGTCGGAATAAATGGCTTGTATGGCCATCCAGAGGGCAGCCCCCCTACTGGAAGTGACATCAGAAGGGATGGAGCTTGGGAAGTGACATCACAAAAGCCTTTCTCCTGTCTCTACCCCCAAAGTCTCCTGTCTCCACCCCCAAAGTCCTCAGATAGTTCCTGAGTCAGACTTGACAACCCTAATATACTAAGGTTCTACAACTTCAGTTATTTAACACCAATATTGTGCTAAATGCTGAAAAGGATGTAGAAATGATATAATCTGTACTAGAAGATTTTCATTCTAAATTACAGTTTTAAGAACTTACTCCTTCCAATTTGATCTGTCCCCATTAACCAA